GTGTTGGGGATGGGGATGGGGATTGTTGGGTATGATTAGATTGATTGATTGCATTTGATATGGTTAGCGTGGAGTTATGGGGTTCGTTTCATTTGGTCTTGTTGATGTCTTGCATCTGATCCAGGGCTACAGCTCAGCTACAGCACAGCTACAGCTACATTGACGGTTACAGCTTCAGGACAGAAGGTCCCTCCACACCGTTCTTGTACCGATCCTCCGCGGTAGCCCAGTTGATCACCTTCCAGATGCCCTCGGCATACGCGGCCTTGTTGCTGAAGTACTAGTGATTTCATTAGCAATGAGGATGGAAGAGGATGCAAGAGATGAGAGTCGTACCTGGAGGTAGTAAGCATGCTCCCACATATCCACCCCAAAGATGGGCGTCGCCCCCGTCACGGGATCCTGATCTTTGGTCGTGGTGATCTCCAGCTTCCCCTTGGGCCCGCTGCTCACCAACCAACCCCATCCGCTCCCCTGGATGCCCAGCAGGGTCGTGTTGAACGCATCCGTAAACCCCTTGACGGACCCCCAGCGCTGCTCGATGGCGGCCTTGAGGGTCGGCGCCGCCGCATCGATGTTGGATTCCGGGGAGCCCGGCGGGGTCAGATTCTTCCAGAAGAGGGAGTGGTTGATGTGGCCGCCGCCGTTGAATTTGATCTTCTGCTGCAGGGAGATGAGCTGGGGGACGTCGTTGGCTTGGATGGCGGACGCCTGCGAGGCGAGCGCGGCGTTCAGGTTGGTGATGTAGGTTTGGTGGTGCTTTTGGTGGTGGATCTCCATGATCTGTTTGGAGATGATGGGTTCGAGGGCCTGGCATTGTTAGTATTTTGTCACTTTAGAGGGGTAAGAACTTACATCGTAGGCGTAGGGGAGGGGGGGGAGGTTGTATTTGGTTGCCATGGTGTTGGTGCTGTAGCCTGTGAGTGCTGAGAGGGTCGAACGTGAGAGGGATGGTGAGGGATGAGGATGAGGATGGAAGGAGAGGAAGAGGAAGAGGAAGAGGAAGAGTAGCTACTTGAGCATCAAGGTCCCCGCCGTCATGAAGGGCTCATCGTGGATCCAAGGCAGTGAGAGGGGTTGAGGGAATTACTGGAGCTGAGCTGCTGGGGGACCTTGGGATCTAGAGCACAAATGAGCACATTATGAGCAATACAGCGGTGTGATTGGTTCCTGCACTCTGCTCGCATCATGTCTCTCTAGAGTAATGGACTGGCGAACGCTGATCAGGCATTTGCTGCATAAAAACCCCTTATTTATGGGTGGGTTGATGATGATCTGGAGTTGGTGATACATAATCAGTTGATGCCTGAGGATAAGCTCCTTTCTGCCTCAACCAAGACACTGAGACACTCTTCTCTTGTATTCATCGTCCTAAACTATCTTCGTATCTTCATATCACAAGTCTCATCGAGATATCCTCAATTCCATCTTGTTACTCTTGAATTCTCTACCAATCATGTCTTCCCCTGATCGAAAATCGATCTTCTGCCGAACCTCGGCCAGTCGGTCCAAAAAGTCTCCAAACGTGGGGAAGTCGGTCAATGCTTTATAAACATGGAGAGCTCTTCGTCTCAGAAGACATCTTACTATTGACTCCATTCACCACTATCATCTGTCTATCTCAAGATGTCTGCCGAAGAACAAGTCCAACTCGAAAACTTTGACTCCATCTTCTCCCTTGACGGCAAAGTCGCTGTCGTCACCGGCGGTTCAAGAGGCCTCGGTCTCCATGCCGCCAGTGGGTACGTCTACTCCCGTGACCAAAAAACCATTCATGTTCTATCCTAACAAGTGTAAAGCCTCCTCCAAGCGGGCTGCTCAAAGGTCTACATCACCTCCCGCAAAGCCAAAGCCTGCGACGAGGCCGTTGCCGCCCTGAATGCCCTCCCCAACAAACGTCCCGGCGCTGTAGCTATTGCCGTCCCCGCCGACAACGCGCGCATGGACGACCTGGACCGCCTTGTCGCCGAGGTTCAGAAGACAACCGATCACATTGACATTCTCTTTGCAAATGCGGGCGCGACCTGGGGCGAGCGGTTCGAAAAGTACCCCGAGTCTGCTTTTTCCAAGGTTATGGATCTGAACGTGAAGAGTGTGTTCTATTTGGTGCAGAAGTAGGTCCCTCTTGCAGATAGGTCGGGCTTAGCTAAATGGATAGATTCGCCCCCTTACTCACGGCCAAAGCAACCCGCGACTCGCCCTCGCGCGTCATCGTCACCGGCTCCGTCGCCGGCATCGGGGTCGGTTCCATCGGCGAGAATGCCACCTTTGCCTACTCCGCCTCCAAAGCGGCCGTGATCCACCTGGCCAAGAACCTGGCGGTTGAGCTGGGACCCCGGGGCATCCTGTGCAATGCGATTGCCCCGGGCTTCTACCCGTCCAAGATGGCCAATGGGTTGATCGAGCTGCAGGGAGGCATCAAGCAGATGGAGGAGCACTCGCCCAACCGGCGACTAGGGAAGCCGGAGGACATTGCTGGGCTGGTGGTGTTCTTGTCCAGCCGTGCGGCGAGTCATTTGAATGGGGCTGTGATTGTGACTGACGGAGGCGCCGTGCTCAAGGGAAGACTATAATGGAGAAGAAATCTGTCATGTAGATTATGATTATCTGAGTTATGTACAGTTGCAGAACTACAGCTTGGCGACTGTCTTGTGCTCCTCTGCCCGCACTGCTCGGTCGATGATCTCCATGGCCCGGTAGAGCTCGTAGTCGTGCTGCTTGGGCGTTACTACCTGGATGCTGAGGGGAGAGTCCAGGTATACTCGCCGATCCACCGTTTTCTCGTTCCCTACAGGGTCAGGTCAGTGAGATGTTTGACCAGACAAGAGAGCGACAACAAACTTACACAACTGCCGATTAGCCTTGTCCCAGCTCCCCAGCACCGGCGCCGTCATCTCCTTGCCCAGCTCCAGATCCGTCTCGCGGAACCTACGCACGGGAATGACACCGGCCGGGTAATCCAGCAGCACAAAAGACGACGTGTATCCCACGGCATTATACCGATCGATCTCCGGGACCGGATGCGGCGCAACCGGGTGGATGATGGCATCGACCCCCCGTCCCGCCAGCTTGTCGCCGTCGCGCATCCACAGACTCAACAGCTCCTTTTCGAGCGCAGACCGCTGCGCCTGCAGCTGCGCCAGCTGCACCACGCTCAGCGCCTTGCCGCGCTTCATGCGGCCCTGCAGCCACGGAATCAACGGCTCCCCCGTCCTCTCCAGCAGATCCAGCATGGCCGATCCATCGTCCACACCCATCAGCCGGCCGGCGAGACCCTGGCATTGCGCCAGCGCCGCCGGGACCGGGATCTCGACCACCTCGACGCCCGGCGTCCGGCGCAGCGTCCGGGCGACCTCGTCCAGCACCCTCGCCACAGGCGGAAGGGGCTGCACCAGCCCATCCGACCGGAGCACCCCGATCGTCACATGCCTCCTCTGCACGCCCGGCCCAGCACGCGGGAACTCACCCGCCCAGCTCCCGGGGACGCAGTCCTCCCCGAACAGCTCCGCCCTCGGCACAATCTCCTCCATCACCGCCGCCAGATCGCCGACCGACCGCGCAATCGGCCCCGCCACCGCCTGCAGCGCGATCCGGCCCTTGCCCGGGATCTGCCCGTTCTCCTGCCCGCCACAGGGCACGCGCCCCACACTCGGCTTGAACCCGTACACCCCGGTGCACATGGCCGGCACGCGGATACTCCCGCCGATATCCGTGCCGAACCCGACCATGCAGCCGCGCAGCGCGACGAGCACGCCCTCGCCGCCGGAGCTGCCGCCCGCGGAGAGCCGGCGGCTCAGCGGGTTCAGCGTGCGGCCGAAGACGAAGTTGGCGCTGTCGAGGGCGCCCATGGTCTGCGGGACGTTGGTCTTGGCGAGGACGATGGCGCCGAGGGCAGTGAGGAGCTGCACGAGGGGTGCGTCCTCCGTGGCGGGGCGGGATGCCAGCGCGGCGATGCCGATGCTCGAGTCGACGCCCGCGATGTGGAAGCAGTCTTTGACGGAGACGGGGAGGCCGTGCAGGGGGCCGAGCGGGCGGCCGGTGCGGTGCAGGTGGGCGTCGAGATCGCGCGCGCGCTGGAGGGCGCGGTCGAAGAGCGGCTCGGTCAGGCAGCGGGTGAGTTGGTGGGCGACTGCGGCTCTCTGCATTGCTTTAGTCTTGTTGCAGAGCGAAGCGTAGCATGTCTTATATCTAAAAAAAAGAGAGAGTGCAGAGTGCGGCGTAGCGTACCTTGCAGAAGGCTGTGGTGACCTCCTCGGCTGTCAGGCGTTTGTCGGCGATGGCGCGCAGCAATGCCCGGGCATCATACTCTTCTGTAATTTCGAGCTCTCGTCCAGAGAGCAGGCCGCAGGTCCGAGGGACATCCATCACGTTAACTCGCTCGTACTGCTTGACGTTGGTGACGGATTCGGCTGGGGAGAGCATCCCGGGGGGGATCTGAGAGTCGGACAGTCTCCATTCGGAGGGGATTCTTGCGTCCAATTCGGCGAGTTTACGCTGGGAGACGGCCGTATAACTGATGGTCATTTTGTACGTGGGTATATATAGTCTCACAGGGATTGTCAAGTATGCCTGAAGTTGTCTGGAACTTTTGACTTTTTGTATGGTGTGTTGCGGAGCGTGCGGGGAGCGGAGACGACATGTTCTGCCTCGGCTGTCCAAGGAAGTAAGTCCTTACTGACCAGTCTTAACCAATATTGATACTGACTCTGGGTCTATGTGTGAAGATATAGATCAATATCTAGATACATCCCGGCCAAACAAATTGTTCAGCAACCACCGAAACGCCACCCGCAGCCGATTCCGCCAGCTAATACTCATCGTCAGATACGCCGAGTTCCAGACAAGCCACGCCATGCGCCCCGTCAGTCCTTGCGGGAGATACTTGTAGCGCTGTCCGTCCTCATGCGGCAGCTGCATCAGCGCCCTCGCATCTCCGATGTACGCCAGCGTGCCCATGTTCCGGAAGGAGAACGGCGGCGCCTGCTCGATATCGTCCGCGTTCAACCGCGCCGCCAGCCATTTGGCTTCCTGGAAGGTCGCCTGCGCCGTCGCCGGGGGCGCCCCCGTCTCGGGCATGGCGTTGTCGCCGAGGGCAAAGACGTCTCGGAGGATGGCTGTCTGTCCGTTGGTACTCGCTAGTTGCACGCGGAGCCGGCCGTCGACGAGCAGGGCGCCGGTCGGGCCTTTTTTGACCTTCCAGGAGGCATCCTCGCGTGTTTCGGTCTTCTTGCCCTGCGTGATCACCGCCGAAGCCGAAGGAAAGCCCTCGACCTCCTCCAACGAGTGGCGGACAAACTCGTTCATCGCGTTGCCCGTCACCCACACGCACATGCCCACGCCCACCTCCCCTTCCTCCTTGGTGGTGAGCGTCAGGCACCGCTTCGGATCCATCTCGTACGGCGGCTCCGCGCCCGGCTCCCCCCATCGCAGACCCTCCACATGATGCGACGTCTTGATCGTGATCCCTTCCTTCTTCATCGTCTCCATCGCATACTGCGCCAGCCGCTCATCAAACATCGACAGCACCGTCGGCGCAACATCGTACAGCGAGATGCGCGGGATCCCGTTCAGGCCGGGATACAGCCGCATGAGATCGCGGGAGATGAAATCGCGCAGCGACGCCGCGAGCTCCGTCCCTGTCGGCCCGGCCCCCACGATCGCAAAGTGCAGCAGCCACTTCCTCATCGCCGGCGACGTCGTCGGCAGCACCGCCAGCTCAAAGCACTCGCGCACCCGCCGCTTCACCCGCCGCGCGTCCCCAATGTCCTTGAAGAAGAGCGCGTTCTCGCGGACCCCGGGGGTCTTGAACGTCCGCGTGACGGTCCCCACGGCGATGACCAGCTTGTCGTAGGGGATCGAGAACGTCTCGCCCGTTTCCCACCCTCGTCTGCTCGTGGCGCCGGCGGCCTCCCCCTCTGCCTCGCCCGTCCGCGGCGACTCCGTCACGCCGCTCTTGACGACCGTCGCCTCGCAGAGGACCGTCTTGCGGGCGAAATCGACCGCGCGCGCCGCCGCTTGGATGAAATCCACGCGCGCCCTGGGATCCCGCACGGGCTCCACGATGTTCGAGAAGTCGAGCGAGCCGCCCGCCGCGTCGGTCAGCAGCGGCGTGAAGACAAAGTACGACCGCGGCGAGATGATCAGCGGCGCGAACTTGGTGGGCGATAGCCGCCGGGAGAGACTGTAGCCTCCCCAGCCGGACCCGAGGATGACCACCCGCCCCTTACCTCTGTCTTTTTGCTTTTCGTCAGGGAAGGCTGTGGAGTGTTCGACTTGTGTTGCTAGGTTCCTCTGGCCTGCCGGTACTCGCTGTAGCATCCATGGTATGTGTATCCGTCTGCTCCCATGCAGAACCGACGATTGCACGGGCTTCATACTGCGCCGATAAGACGATTGCTAGACTAAGGCATTGTTATAACCCAATCCAAGTCCTTTTATCTATGGAAAGCATGTACTAGACGGTGAAATCCGGGTCTGAACACATAATGACCTCACTCTCGGCCCAAGCCCCTTCACCCGGAACATGGAAGGATGCGGACCGCGATGGAGTCAACTGAATCTCGTATAATCCCTCGTGAAAGTGAGAGACATCCTTCTATCTTACCGAAGTAACAGTTCACAGTATAGCTGCAAGCTTGAGAGTGGCAGTGGTTCCGACTCTCTCCGCAGACACGTGCCGACAGCGCGTGGATTCGGAGGAGCTAGGCTTATCATTTCTGGCCGTAGGATCACAAGGCAGGCATTTCATCCATTAATTATCGGATGAAAACGAACCTTTCTGGAGATTCAAGGAGGAGATAGATTAGGGGATCCGTCTGTGGGCTGTCCGGGTGCTGCGGAAAAGGACGGGTAGATGAATTCACTTCAGACGGGCTATCAAAAGCTGAGTTGCACATGGAGATCGCCGGTGACTCAGATTGATCTCTGCAATGTAGACGGTTTGAGTAGATTGATCAAGGGCGAAGGGAGGAACAGATTCTTCATGTGAAATCGTCGACGCGAGTGTTTTCTAGGGGCATCATATCCTAGTGTGACTCCCGTACATGTAAAGCAGATAATTTATTAATCTAACTGGAGTAGATAGTAAAAGTGCCAAGTGTCAAGTATAAGTATCAATCATATCTCGTAAATCATTATTCGTGCCGTATTCACCGAAAAATTAAGCTGGACGACTCGCTCGAGTCGACACGGGCAATAAACTCCCTGCATAGCGCGTCTCCATGCTCCGGCGCGACTTGCTCATGCTGATAATCTTCTCCATCTCGATCGTGGCCTCGTCGAGCTGATCATCGCTACTTTTCTGCCTGTGTGACATCCATCGCCGAATGTGTCGCATCCCTTCCTGGCAGACATCACCGATATCGTCGACCGACAGCGCCAGCAGAATCAACGGGATGGAGATGGCAAAGCCGATGCCAAACGTATACTTGGCCACATACGACAGATGCAGCGCCCCGACACCGTCCGGCCCCTTGGGGAACTCCTGGATGTTGATGGTGAAAATGGACGTGATGAACGACAGCGGGAGGAAGATGATGGTCACGATGGTGAACACCATGATCGTCTTCCCCTGGCGGGTGGTCCCCGCCGCCTGGTCGCGCGCGAACCGCGCCTCGAACGCGTTGGCGTGTTTCTGCTTCAGGTCGAGCAGGTCCGTAATGGACGAGTAGATGCGTTCGGCCTGCTTGTCCATGCGGTCGATGTCCTTGAGGTGCATGTCGATCGTGCGCTGCTGCTCCTTGAACCGCTTCTTGACCTCGTGCTGCGACCGCTGCTGGCCGTGGTAGATCTCGCAGATCACCTCCTGGAAGTCAGCCAGGATGTGCTGCTGGTGCTGCAGCACGGTGCGGATCATGTTGAGCTCGTCGCGGATGTCCTTGGCTTCGGCCAGCAGATCGGTCTCCTGCCCGATGTCGAGGAGGTTGTCCACGAACAGCGGCTGCTCGTCCTCGTCCGACAACTGTTTTTCTTTGGTGCTGTCCTTGTTGAGCTGCGAGTTGCGCGCAAACCGGCTCAGCTTGCGGTGGTTCTTGAGCCAGTCCGATGCTTGCGCGGAGGCGCGGTTGAACAGGTTGAACAGCAGTGTCTCACGGTCCGTGGCGACGCCGATCGATGACTCGAACATGTCCAGGAACTGGTATTCCTCGTCTCCCATGCGGTGACGGTCGAACACCCCCGAGCAGCGGTTGGTGATGATGATCGCCAGGTCGTAGACGGACCGCACCGGCTCCCGTGTCTTGGAGTTGATATCCTCGATAATGCCGTCCAGGACATTGAGCGGGTCGTTCTTCGGCTGCTCCCACCGTTGCGCAAAGCTCGTGACAATGAGGTTCTCTCCCAGGATCCACATCCACAGCTGGTCCACCATGAAGATCTTGGGATCCGACCAGAACCGATCGCGGCCCTGCCCTTTGGTCTGGTAGCGGTAGATCACCTGGTCCTGATCTCGACTCCGCGTGTCGATGTTCGGATAGAAGAATTGGTCCAGAGTTCGTCGCACATGGAGAGACGTCGTGGACGACGCCAAGTGCGCGCTAATGAGCATTTCGTCCCTTGTAGACGATCGCGAGATCCCTGGGCTTCGGAAGCTGAGTGTTTCAGCTCGCTGGATCGCCTCTTGCATCTTCTGCCTGCGCTCTGCCGTCTCAAAGTGCAAATAAGGCATGAACACGCACACGTTGCAGGCCGGAGTAAGCGAGTGGTCTCTGCAGAGTGACAAGGGCGCTCGATGCTTTTCATCCTGGGCCGATGGATACTTACTGCCCTTCGTGTCACTCCTAGGGGAGGACCCAGACTTGCCCCGTTTAGGCGTCCCTTTGCCCTTTTTGCCCTGCGAGCTGCTGAAACCATCGTCAAGCGAACAGGCATCCGTCCGCTCGAGCTTCATCCCCTGTACTTTTGATTTTTTGGCCTTGGAATGGTCGTCGTTTCCGTTGACAACGATTGTGGGCAGTTCCGTCTCCCCACTTTCCTTGAGCCGCTCATCCTCGCGGAAAGGTCGTGCTCTCGGGGTGCTCTGACACAGCGGCCGCATGAAATGAGAGTGCGTCCGTTGCCCCCGGTGCTGGTAATTGAACGACCTCTCCAGCCCCTTGAAGCTCTCCACGTCGTGAGCCCCTTCCTCGATAAACGACTTGGTGAGCAACGCCTCCACCCAGGCCATGTTGTTGGCGGGCAGATGGATCCATCGGAAATCCGTCGCCTTGCTGTCCGCTGGGATGGTTCGAAACGCCTGCTTGCGTGGATTCTCCGCGTCCCGCCCATACAACAGGTTGAACACGGAGGTCTTCTGGACCCTATTCTCGTTGTGGAAGTTGCCAAAGTCAACCACCGTGGCATCAAAGGCCTCGCACGCGCCCCGTGCATCCGCCGACAGCGCATCGATATTGTTGAACGGCGCCAGGAGCAGCACGATGTCCTTGCGCTTGAACTGCGCCGCCCGGAGGAACGGGGTGCTCCCGAAGTTGTCCCGAACACGGCGTTTCAGGTCCGGTCGCTCGAGCAGACACTCGACGACCTCGCGGTGACCGGCCTGCGCGGCCAGGTGCAGCGGCGTGACCCCGTTCAACAACTGCGCGTTGATCTTGGCCCCAGCCTGCAGCAGCAGACGCACAATCACCACCGACCCCTTGTCACAGGCATTGTGCAGCGGCGTCCAGCCACCATCGCTCCGGGCCTCGATGTCCGCCCCGTGCTTGAGCAGCAGCAGCACGATATCCTCCCTGTCATGCGCCGCCGCGATATGCAGCGACGTTTTGTTCCTCGACTCGACGGCATTCACATCCGCGATCGGGCCGCGCGGCCGTGTGAGCAGCAGCTCCGCGACGCGCAGTTTCCCCGTCGCACACGCCCAGTGCAGCGGCGTCCGGCCCAGCTCATCCCGCCCGTCCACCCCGTCGAGCGCACACACCGTCCCCAGCAGAAGCTCAATCACATCCTCGCCCCAATCGCACTGCTTATCCGCCGCCAGGTTATGCAAGACATTCCTCTTCCGCAAATCCCTCGCATTGACGTTCGCACCGCGCGATATCAACAACTGCAGGACGTGCCAGTGATTCCTCCACGCAGCCGTCATCAGCGCCGTCCGCCCTTTCTTATCCGCCGTCTCCGTCGACGCCCCGTAATCCAGGAGCAGCTGCACAATACGGACATGGTTGCGCTCGACAGCACGCAGGAGCGGCGCAACCCGGTTGCTGGGGACCTCGGTCCTCGCCCCCAGACTGAGCAGGTACTGCGTCGCGGCGATGGATCCGCGCTCGCAGCTGCGCATGAGGCCCACGCGCAGGAAGTTCTCGCTGAACTGGCCATTTTCGCGGGCCAGGTACACAATCTGCCGGAGCGTTTCTAGGTCGTCGTGCTCGACGGCGCGGAGAAGGCGGGGCTCGAGCCGGTCGTGGCTGTCGCTGGCGATGCTGGAGCGGGACCGTGACATGGCAGCTGTCACAATTCCTTTCCTATTCCATCATAAACTCGATCAATCTGCGTTATCGTGAACAGACCCTTGATAACAATCTTTGTATGGAGTGCTTAGTAGCTGCAATCCAGCCCAGGGGAATGAGACGAAAAAACTGGGGAGGAAACAGGGGGGAAATTTTGGAATCAGAGCGCATCAGGGGCTGAAAACGAAATTAAAAATCCAAGTCCAGCCCCAAGTCCGCGCGATACGAAGTCGATCAAATTAAGAATCGCCGGACACATTTTAGCTGCAGCTGGTCGGAGTAAGATCTGCCGCGGGCTGCGGTGTGACTGAGACATCGTCCGCAGCCAGTGGCAGCCACACGGGTCTGGACTCTTGCTATCTTCATGCTTGATTATCTGATAGACAAAGATCGATCAGTGGATAGAGAGATGAAGATGGACTAGATTTTCCAGAAGGACTGGGAGGAAACAAGGACGATAGCATGGCTTGTGTTGATGATTTTGACAGCTGATCTTGAGTTGCTGAAGCATTGCGCTCGGTGCAGATCTCAGGGTTCAAGCTGTGTCTCAAAGATTGTAAGATGAAGAAGAGGTCAGATTACAGGTTATTTAGACCCTATTCGATAGATAAGTGTGCAATTTCCGATGGTTGATGGTCTAAAGTGGGAGGAAAATATAGGGAATGCCCCGGACAACCCAGACAACCAATTCAATCAATTCTCTCCGCACAAGACCAAAGGTCCCTCAATTAAATTATCAGCCCATCAGGACGTATTATCTCTATCCGTCTCTTCTCAAATAACATCAAACCAGGCGGTCGGCCACAGTCGGTCTAGAAGGGGAGTCCCATCAGGATGACAAGTCGGGAAAGAAAAATAGAGTACCCGAAAGATGACACAAAAACCGAGGACCAGTATAGGAGATCAGGGCCAAGCCTATCAACCCCCTGTTCATTT